ATGAACTCTAACTAATTCTTGCACCTGGACTAGCCCATTTCTATCTAGCCTCTTCTAGGCTAATTCTCACATATTAATTTAGCCCATTTCTAATCATCTGTGTAAGCACGCCAAGGTGCGCTTACCGGGAAGATTCTAGCCTAAGTCCATCGTGGGTTGGAGTTGCCTGGGAGAGCTGAGCATGGCGTCTCTGCTCCAGCAGAGCTGTCGGGTCTCTCTGGAAGCAGAGCAGAGTCTGACCTCACTTCCTCTTCCGCCCAGAATTCTATTCTGTTTACTCCTCCCATCTATGTTCCAAGCTGAGGCCAAGCAGTTGGTTTATTATAACTTAACCAATGAAATCAACAGATTGATATATGACACTCCCACATCACTCATTTGATTTTTTTAAACATGCAATATAAATACTATACTTAACAGTTGCAGGTCAACCCATGGGCCAAGTGTTGGGTATCCAGGACCCAGCAGTAAGGGTCAGCACAGCCGTCATGAAATAGGGTGAGCACATCACCCTCTCCTCTCACACATGGCCTCTCGTGGTGCTAATCGCAGGGGCTGGTGTTATTCATAAATTCCACGTTCACCTGCGGGCAGTGTCCCTGTGAAGCGGCCCTTTGGTACCCTGGCTAGGCTTGACAGACTGCGTAAGACTTGTGCTCATGGTGGTAACAATCTGATGGAAAGCACTGCAAAAGAGGAACCACATCCTTTTCAAACAATCATAAGAACATATCTGAAGAACTCTAGGAGAGAAATAAGAAAGGATTATTCACGAGGGCTCCAGACCTGGGCTGTCTCAGGCTCAGGGAAAAGAATGAGTCCAGAGAGTCCATGTTTTGTATCAACTACTAGTTTTTGTATTTTATGACACTATGAAAGCAATCCATATGAAGTAGAAACTGAAGTTTGAATTGTGGCAATTTTTGAATTAGTGCTGGCTGTTTGTGGTGGTGCTGGGAGTCGCGGTGTGCCTCCAAAACTCTAGATGTCTAATTTCTACAGCAATTACAAGGAAGTCGAATTAGTTCATTAATGTATTTACAAATGTGATTTAAGGCTGAAAATGACGTTACAATTTTATCTTAGAGTTTTTGGTTATTGTGTTTTTTGGCTATTGTTTATTAGAGTGTTGAGAGGATTCCAGGCAAGACTACCCTGTCACTGAACTCTATGCTCCTTGCCCCTTAGGATGGTATTTAAAATCATTTAAAATTTCAGTTTTTGGGGCAGGAGAGATGGCTCAATGGTTAAGAGCACTGGTTGTTCTTCCAGAGGACACAGGTTCAATTCCCAGCACCCACATGGCAGCTCACAACTGCATTTTCAGTTCCCCAGGATCCGACACCTTTACACCAATGCACATAAAATAAAGTTAGAATAAATTATTTAAAAAATTTCAGTTTTCAAAAGTCAGGTGTGGAGACAGAAGTTGGCAGATTTCTGAGTTTACAGAGCAAGTTCCAGGAGAGCTGGGGGTACAACAGAGAAACCCTATCTCGAAAAACCAAAAACGATAACAGTTTTCTTTATTAGCTCTACGAAATTTGACATCCAAACAAAACCATGAAGTTTCCACAATGTGGCTTATTGATAAAGAAACAGACTAGACGACAAGCCTTCTCTGTGATTGCTAATGGCAGGCTAGGGTGAGAATGCAAACCTCGAATTCTCCTTTAATGCCTTTTCTAACCTCTAATAAGAAGCTGTTCGTTGTTGAACGTCTCCATTTCTCTGGTGAGATCAACCATGAAGAGCTCCTTGGAGACAGACTGGAGCTGGAGGACCCCTCATCCTCCAGTAAGCAATGCCTCAGCAGACCCGACATTCCGACCTCGTGAATCACTAGACCCAAACCATCCATAAACTGCATTGCATTGTACATTTTAAAGCAATGACACAGTCTTTTGTGAGCTTCATATTTGCTCCTGACAACCGAGGTTGTGCATCAGCTAGCTCAGTCCCCATTCCCTCAGGTTTCCCCTGCCCTTGGAAGGAGAGACTTCGGACACCCACTGTAATCTCCTGTTTTCTTACAAGAGATGGGAGTGGGGGTGGTCAGGAGATGAGGAAGAATTGTTTATCTGTCCCTACCTGCCACCTGGTAGTCATTTCTACTTGGTGGGGAAATTAAAAACTGAATACCATTATTAAATCTCATATAAATAACAATTCCTGCTTTTCTTTTTCTTTTGTTTTTGTGGGTTTTTTTTGGGTCTTTTTTGTTTTTTTGGTCTTTTTTTTGTTTTTGTTTTTAAAGACAGGCTTTCTTTGTGTAGACCTGACTGTCTTGGAACTTGCTCTGTACACCAGGCTGGCCTCAAACTCACCAAGATCCACCTGCCTCTGCCTCCTGAGTGCTGGAATTAAAGGTGTGTGCCACCTCGTGCTGGGCTAAATAACAATTCTTTAATATCCACTCTATTTTTCTTTGCTTCAATTGTCTCAAAGATGCATTTTACAATTTGTTTGACTCACTATCCAAGTGGAATTAACATATTGCCTTTAGTATGTTTTATTGTAAATACTGCTTTTTAGAAGATTCCGTAACTTTGCCTTCATTATTGCTGAGCCATTTTCCAAGGTGGTTGTGTCAATTCCAATCTTAGAGTTAGAAATTCACTTCCTCTCCCCCTTTTGGTATTACCTGACAATTTATTGCCTATCTACTAATAAGCCACAGTCTGAGAAGAAATATGAGCATCTTCACCAAATAATGGGCAATCGAGGGTTTTAGAAAACACTTTATACTCACTGAAGATAAACTATGCCTCTACGCCACCTGAAAGTCACATTCCTGGCTACCAAGAATGTCAGGAACATCCTATTGCATACTTTTGGCTCTGTTGCTTTCAGTGCTGGTAGATCAAGTCCGGGTCTCCTGCGTGTTAAACAAGGCTTTCCCAACAAACTATCCATCCCAGCCCTCTATTTTCATTTATGAAAGTATAAAGACTACAGATAATCATAAACCGCTTAGAAGGTCCTCGGATGTGACTAATACTGACCTTTTTTTTTTTCCTGCTGTGAAGGTCCTTTGAACACACATGGAGCTGAGACTGGATGTTAGTTCTACTGTAAGCAACGCTAAAATTCCTGTGACCATCTTTCTCCCTTCTGAGTATCTTTTTTTTATTTTTTCTTTATTGAGAAAAGGAAAAGAAAAATAAAAAAGTTTCCGCCTCCTTCCGAGTATCTTACCTAGCAGGCTATTTGCTCTGATGAGGTCATAATGCTTTGTTTGTGGAGTCTTTTTTTTTTTTTTTCTTTTGGTTTTTCCAGACAGGGTTTCTCCATGTAGCCCTGGCTGTCTAGAAACTCACTCTGTAGACCAGGCTGGTTTTGAATTCATAGAGATCCTCCTGCCTCTGTCTCCCAAGTGCTAGGGTTACAGGCGTGCACCACCACCCAGCTGTGGAATCATCTTTTGTCACTTACGCCTTTAGGAAGAAATCAGCTTTTAAACAAAATGAAGGTTAGCTGGTAATTTACAACCTGAGATCACGGGGACAAAGATCTCTGGAAGACTCAACCTTTCCTATAAGCTCCCCCCTTCCCCTGGCCTTGTAAGCTTTATTCCAGTTTGTAATGGTGGCAGCACAGCTCACCACATGCCCAGTGCTTGGCCGATTCTTGATTTCCAAGTCACGCAAACTCCCTCACAATATTTCACATAGCAAAGGAAAAAGCCCATTTCTGGTAATAGAGTCAAGTGTTAGAGAGGGAAGAATACCAAAAAAGGTTCCTCTGTGGTGAAGATGAACTGTGTTGAATATTATGCCATAGAATAACTGGCATATTTTAAAGATCTTTTCCTTTTTTGGACACGCTTCCTTACGGATGTTCCCAGAGAACATCGTGATCTATCTTAAGTGTGAAGAGAGATAGTCTACAGTGTCATATTTATATCATAGAGAAATGTCTAAAAAAGAAGGCAAGTCAATAAAAATAAAGATTTAAGCTTTCATTCGGGTAAAGCAAAAGTCATCTACTCAACACGTCAGCCTCCTTGATTCTTTCAGAGATAGGACGCGAGGTGCAAGCTTTTGCCTTCCATTTTCCCCTTATAAGTCCAATGATATCTTCGCTTCCGGAAGAGCTTTAAAAATGTGACTTCTGATAAATATTGGCAGAACTGGTGCATTCCTAGAATAAATTCTGTATGCTCAGCGTTTCCTGCCCAAACTCATTCATAGGCTGGCAGACCATGAACCTGCCCACCCAGAATAGGCTGAAGAGAAATGGAGGCAGGACACAAGGTTTAAGGGCATTATAAGGTGAGCTACAACTGTCTTGAGAATCCGCGACTAGAGTCAAATCGCTAATCAAAGTTAGGCTGACGTAACAACGACGACTATGATACACATGGAGTTTACAATTTAGAAGGATGGGTAAGGGAGCTAGACAATCTCACACAAAGGAAAACATTATTCTTTCTCCTTCCCAGCACGTTCCAACACTACAACTCCAGTTGCTCTGCTCTCAGTTTTCATTCCGTCCCATAAGGAGACCTGTGACTCTCTGCTCCCCCATCCTCACACCTCACCACCCAAATTAGGAAAAGTCTCCAGGGTCTGCAAAGACGAAAAAGCATCCCCAAGGCGAAGTTTTATCTGTCGCGGAAGGAGTGAAAACTCAGTAGGTATAGAAAAGACGTACGAAGGGGCGTTAAAACAAAACAAAACAAAACAAAACCAACTATAAATCTTACAACTCTATCTGGGAAAACAGAATGAGACCAAATGAAAAAGGGACCCAAAACCCCGCGGATGCTGACAGCTTCGTGACCTCGGCGTACTGCTGCGCGGGAAGAGCCCGAGCAGCGCCTCGCCTGCCCCTAGAGCCAGCCGGTCTGCGTGTAAACTGGCTGGGATGCGAGGTACCCACGGCGCCCGCCACGCCCTGCCCCGCCCCGCCCCTCCCCGCCCCCGGGCGCCCGCGCGCCAGCCAATGAGACGCGCGGACCCCTTCCCATCGGCGACTCCACCCCCGTGCCCGGGATGTTGGGCCCCCGCGGCGTGACGCGAGCACGGCGGCTCCGCCCCCTGCGTCTCTGGCCTCGCTGGCCTTGGGGGGATGGTTTCATCATGGCGTCAATGCAGGTGAGCGGAGCTGCTGCAGCGGGGCGGGCGTGGGGGCCGCCGAGACGGGGCGAGCGTCGGCGCGGGGGCGGCGTCCGAGGCTTCGGGGCCGGCTCCGGGCGGCCTTCCCTGACCCCGGGGTCGTCGGGGATCACTGGTCGGCGAGCGGAGCGGGGGGTGTCGGTCGGTAGCCGCGGACAGTCGCGGCCGCGAAGTTGTGGCATAAAGGCGGCTGCGGGGAAGAAAGGGCGAAGTTCGGCGTGCGCTCCGCGGTCGGGGCTCCGCTCCGCGCCCCCGCGCGAGGACGGCCGCGGCTTGGCTCCCCGGCCGCCGGGGAGATGCTTTCCATCCCCCTCCCCCTGCGCTCCCCCGGCGGGGTGGAAACAGCTGTGCCCGCCGCCGTCGCCCGCGGAAGTCCAGGCGGCCCGAGAGAGGCAGAGCGTGGGGCGGCCGGCGAGCGCCTGGCCGAGGACGGCCGCTTGCCCACGGCGCTCCGCGGCCTCTGCCCGGCCTCCCACGCGCAGCCTCGGATCGCCCGGCTCCTGCCTGATCTTCTTCGATCTTCATCCCGTGCCCCGTGGGTGCCTCCTCCTGTCAGCCCGCACTCCGGGGCATTCCCTGGCAGCCCACGTCTCCTTCGAAGCCGCCCTTCGCCCGTGTCCCCGGCGTCCTGTGCCACCCAGGGTGCGAGCTCGTGGGCCTGCTTCTCGGCCTCGGGAAAAACTCGCTCTCTTAATATATTTTTTTCCCCACTTAGGATGCCCCACCCTTGCGGACTCGGTAAGGCCGTGGCTCCTTTGCCCTTCTTCCCCAGACCTTTAAAACCTTAGTTTGGTAGAAGGTGCCTGTTAACCTAGGTCCGATCAATCTGACTTGATGGCGGTTTTCTTGCCTTCCAACTTAATATACTCCTCTCCCCCCCTTCGAGATCCAAGGAAAGATTTTTTTTTTCAGGCAAAGATGGCAACCACAATTGTAGTTTCCAGAGATTGCATTATCTATAGTTGGCGTTTAATTTACAGCCAGGGCTGGAGGTGTTAAAGCAGTAAGAAGAGGGTAGAACTCTTGTAGAGTGTTGGCGAAACGCCCTTTGGAGTTTTAACATCCTCTAGAGTAAAGAGAAACCACATTCTCCTTAGAAGAATTCTTGGCTTTTGTTTCTAGAAGAATAAGCAAGATCTCGTTGTTGTCGCTTCTCTGTGCTGGAAATGTTTTTCGTTCTTGCGCATTTTCCCCCTTTCACGGTGTCTTTCAACCTGCTTTCCTACAATACTCTCTCTGCCTTTGCGTGTCTCTCTGGCCTCTCCTGCAGAACAATAAAACTGCAAGTAACATTTCTAGTTGAAGAGATGTCACGAAATGGTGAAGCAAAAACAAGAACAATTTCAGGAAACGTTATACTTGACACTCTCCCCAGAGACGTTAGAGAAGTTTCGTCATTTGAGGCCAAAAAAGGAACTGTGGCGCACCAGTTGGACAGCAGATGGGCTATATGATTGCTTTAACATTTTTATCTGTATTAAGACATTGTTTGTTATGACCTCTCAAAGATGAGCTGATTTAAGACTAAAAATAAAGATTAAAATCCACCACACTTGGGATTGTATTTGGCTTTGGCAGGAGAGCTGGTTAGCTCTTACGCGTAAAGTATTTGGAAAAAAGCAGACTTGTTTCTAAGAGGAGTTGATATTTTTGGTATTTACTCTGTGTCTTCAGCAGTGGGGATGTGCTTTTTATGCTGGTTCTGAGCCTCAGCCACCACCTTAGACTCTAGCACAAGGCTTTCATTCCTTTGTTTTCTGATTAGCATGGGGAACTGATCCTTTCAGGTTTTCATTACTGTTAAATCTTGACCTTTTGTATGTATTTCAGAGTATCTGATAATTTTATTTTTTGGGGAAATAGCATTTTGACGAAGGTTTATTTTTATTGTGTGTGTTGTGTGTCTGTGTGTGGGTGTGTGCATGTGAGCGAGGTGCCTGTTAGGACCTTTCTGATCGACTGGAGCTGGAATTATAATAGGTGCTTGTGTGTTGCCTGATTTGGGTGCTGGGAACCAAACCAGGATCCTCTGCAAGAGTAGCTCTCGCTCTTAACCCCTGAGCCATCTCTCTGCCCCATAGCAGACTCTTTGAAAGACACTTGGCTGTGGTTTTTATTTCTGTGTCTTTGTACAAAGTTTATTTCCTGACTGTTCTCACAACAGAAGTTCGGTCTTTTCAAAATAATGTAATTTAAACATAACATTATAACTAAATGATCAAATGTGTTCATTAACTCGGCAAATATTTTAAAGATTAGATTTCCATATCTTACTACAGGGGGGTTATTATTGCTGAAGAGGAGATTACTTAAATTGTAATCAGAGCTCTACTTTAAAAACATGCCACACTGTGCATACGTAATGTGGGATTTGATCACTTGATATCAATGAATTTTTTTTTTTGTTTTGTTTTGTTTTCGAGACAAGGTTTCTCTGTGGTTTTGGAGCCTGTCCTGGAACTAGCTCTTGTAGACCAGGCTGGTCTCGAACTCACAGAGATCCACCTGCCTCTGCCTCCCAAGTGCTGGGATTAAAGGCGTGTGCCACCACCGCCCGGCCCCAAGGAAATAATTTTTATTTACTATAAAATCAACTTAAGGCAGTCTTTCAATTTCTTACTAGAGGATATGAGATTTAAAGCTGATGTTATAATTGCTTTTATTTTTATTTATTTATTTTTTATTTTGGTTTGACTGTCCTGAAACTCACTCTGTAGATCAGGCTGGCCTTGAACTCACAAAGATCCTCCTGCCTCTCTGCCCCACAAGTGCTGGGATTAAAGGTGTGCACCACCACTGCCCAGATTGCTTTTATGTGTTTTATCTTCATTTTTGCTATGTAGCCCAGGCTGACATCAGGTTGGAGATCTTCCTGCGTGGGTCTCCCGAGTGCTAGGACTACAGGCGTGTTCCCCTCTGCCTGCCACGGCCGACAGTGTTCTGTCTGTGCTTGTCCGCTTTGTTCCTCCACACAGGTTGTTTTAGTACACTAAGGTAGACGGCCTCGCCAGGGAGCTGCGCTTGAACCATCAGGGAGGCAAGCTCTTCATTGTGGAGCCATGTCCTGTGGGAAGCTGCTGTTGCTAGCTTTTGTCAGGACACAGCTCGGTGTCTTTCACACCTAGGTGCAGCCTTTCCATTGTGCTTCCCTGCCTAAGTCAGCAGTCACCACGGGAGATTGCAAGATAATATTTTAAGAACTCTTTTCAAAAAAAGTTTTTTAGATGTATTAATTTTTATGCATATGGGTGTTTTGCCTAACATGTATATCTGTGTACCCGGTGCCTGAAGAAGCCAGAAGAGGGCATTAGATCCTCTGGAATTGGAGTTACAATTGTGAGCCATAATGTGGATGCTGGGTCTGGCTCCCAGGTCGTCTGGAAGAGCAACAAGTGCTCAACTGTGGAGCCTCTCCAGGCCTATGAATGCATGCACTTTTTTTTTTTTTTTTTTTTTTGAGACAGGGCTTTTCTGTAACAGCTTTGACTGTACTAAAGCTCACTCTGTAGACCATGCTGACCTCTAACTCACAGAAATCCACCTGTCTCTGCCTCCGCCTCCCAAATGCTGGGATTAAAGGTGTATATCATCACTGCCTGGTGAAATACTTAGACTTTGAGTCATGTTTACAAATTTAGAATTTAGCCATTTTGTTCAGATTCCTTTTAAAATAGATGTTTTAAACTTGACCTGATTGAAGCTGGCTGTGGTGGAGCAAACCTTTAACCTCAGCACTTGAGAGGCAGAGGCAGGCGGATCTCTACTGAGTTAGAGGCCAGTCTGGTCTACAGAGCTAGTTCTAAGACAGGCAGACTTACATAGTGAGACCTTGTCTCAACAACATTTTTTTTTAACCTGATTGGGGCAAGGTGACTGAATAGGAAAGGCAAGTTGCTAAAATTTATCTGGTATGTTTTCCTAATTTGACCCCTTTCATAAAGTCTATAGTCTGAGGAATTTAGCACATAATAGCTGATGTTTGTCAACTCTAAATAATGTAATTGCAAGGGTGGTTATTCTTTGTGAATCCCCTTTCTCTCTCTCTCTCTCTCTCTCTCTCTCTCTCTCTCTCTCTCTCCCTCTCCCCCCCCCCTCTGTCTCCCTCTCCCTCCTTTCTTCCCTCCCCCACCTTTTCTTTTTGTGACAGGGTCTTACCATGTAGCCATGGCTGTCTTAGGACTGGTTATATAGAGAAGAACTCACAGATCTTTCTGTCTCTGCTTCCCAAGTGCTGGAATGAAGGGTGTGCACCAGCACCGGCAGCCCAGTGTTTTTCATCCTCTGTCTCTGAGCTGGATCTTGCCTTGGATTGTTCACAGCACTTTGTTCAAGTTATTGGCTATAGTGATTGGGAGAGATAGCATATGGCCTCCTACAGTATTGCTGTAGTAGTCTGGTTGCCTTGACAATTAGATGCTACCATGCTATTTGTCGATATCATGATTAAGGTTTTAGCATCAGAAATTGGAAAATTGTCATCTTGGTTTCGGAAGCTTATTGACTACCAGGGAACTTGAATTCTGATGTCTGGGGTTCTCTGGGTTCTTAGTTATACGGTAGCCAGAGGTGTCAGAGCAAGTGCCAGGGGACTAAGTCTGCATAGTGTAGAGCTGAGGGTGCCATGTAGATGATGAACATAAGTGATTAAAAGAATAAAACGACGCTAATCCTCTCCTTTTTATTTCATTTCTATCACTTAGGCTTTAAGGGATCTCTTGTTTATTTGTCTTGGAAGTATGTAGATTTTTAACCCTTGAAGTTACCTTCCCAAACGATTCCCATGAATGCAGGCAAAAGTACTTGTATCTTTTAAATGTGGACAAACTTGTAAGTTTAATAAAGTTTTGTCCATCACTTGCTGCTTCAAGAAGCATTCATGAATAGCATATTTTGCTTTAGTTAATTCTACTTTGGGAAAATCTGTTAAACAGTTTTTTAGTGGCAAGGTTGAATAGCTACACAGGAACTCTTTAAATTTT